CCCCAAAACCCCAAAACCCCAAAACCCCAAAACCCCAAAACCCCAAACTTCAATAGATGGATTGAATAAATTAGAAATAAGACCTGATTATGTGATCAAGGTGAGGGGTACTTCTTTTTCCAAGTCTTCCACTAAAAGTCCTTGTCTTTTCTCTCATTGAATACTTTGAATTCATATGCTTATTGTGTGACATAATGAAGTTGAACATGAACTCGTTTATTTTAGCAATATTTTCATTCTTGTATAGGCTCTCCACAATGTCCTCGACACAAATAATATCTATGTCTCCGAGGGCAGCTTCAATCATGTTGTTGTCACTGATAGGAACCTTCTTTCCATCAACTTTAGCATATCCTCTGTACTTTAGGAGATCTTCAATAAGGGTCTTAGAAGGTTGACCATATACAATGTAATTTTCAACTTTCTTCAGGGTCTTGAGGTTAGCAATGGTATTCTCAATGAATCCAGCGTTGTGCTTCTTAGTGAGCCCAAATTTAGTCAAGATCACCATCTCCTGCTTGGAAATGTGCTTATCATCCTTAACTCTTATAGCAAGAATGGCTGCTCCTTCTTTCTTCTCAATAACAGCTTCATGTCTGAGCACAGCATTCTTCTTTCTCTTATAAATAACATACGACTTCTGCTGTTTCCTGTACCTATACCAAAGTTCGTATTCCAACCGCTCAAAACACCTCCAAACCCATCTAAACCCACTCCTAACTCTAATCTTACCTCTTTGCAAAAAACTCAGGGTCTTTAATATCTTCAGCCCCAGCTTGGCCCTTCTTCCTCCTCTGGGCCATCATGACATCCTTAACTCTTCCTTCTTCTCTCTTCCTATTAACTTCTTCATTCCTTCTTCTCTTTCTAATCAAGTTCTGAGTGGAGTAGTTCTCTTCTGGAATTCCTTTCATAAACACTCTCTTATTTTCAATAATTATATACAAATTGGGGTTTTGGGGTTTTGGGGTTTTGGGGATTGGGGTTTTGGGGTTTTGGGGTTTTGGGG